TTCCATGGAGATTGCTCCCTGAGAAGTATATACAGGATTTCAGCCTGAATTAGTTAGTCTTCAACACAGGGCTCCCATAAAATTCCAAGATCTATTACAAAACACTATTTCCCTCCCCCTGGGACGCGGGTGGCGCTGTGGGTAAAACCTCAGTGCCTAGGGCTTGCGGATAGTAAGGTCGGCGGTTCGAATCCCCGCGGCAGGGTGAGCTCCCGTCGTTCGGTCCCAGCTCCTGCCCACCTAGCAGTTCGAAAGCACCCCTAAGTGCAAGTAGATAAATAGGTACCGCTATATAGCGGGAAGGTAAACGGCGTTTCTGTGTGCGGCACTGCTCTGGCTCACCAGTGCAGCTTCATCACGCTGGCCACGTGACCCGGAAGTGTCTTCGGACGGCGCCGGCTCCCGGCCTCTTAAGTGAGATGAGCGCACAACCCTAGAGTCGGTCACGACTGGCCTGTACGGGCAGGGGTACCTTTACCTTTTTATCTCCCCCCCAGCTTATTAACTTCTATGTCTTTACCAGAATTTGGAATAATGTGGTAGGATATTACATGGACTTGGCTGGGATACCAGGGTTAAAGGCACCATGAAACTAATTGCTGTATCTCAGCCTAACCAACAGGTTTGTTGAGTGGATAACATGGGGACTCATGAATTCCACCTTGAGCTCCTTGGAGAAATGGTAGAATGGATATAAACATAATACTGATAAATAAGGAATAATCAAAACAAAAAAGCCCCTCTCCAGCTTGCCCACCCCTTCTTTTAAATGGGGGAGGTAGGGGGATGTGCAGGTTTTTAAACATGAAAAAGAAACCCTAAATATCAAAGAAAAAAACTCTGAAACACAACCAGGTCATCAAGCTTATAACCACTGGATTTTACATGTTGATCCTTGGCAAATCCAATGTGTGGCTGTCTGCTGGGGCAGCCAGGGTGCAATCCATGCTCCCATACTACTTATAGGCTCTGCACATCTTCTTTTAGTAAAAGCATTTCAAATTCTCCAAAGTGTTTTGCAGTCTTTTTATCCTTGCAACAACTCCATCAGGTATATGATCGTGCAATTTAGAAAAACAACCAAGAGAACAGTACTGGCAGTTTAAAGACTAACAATTTTATTATGGCGTAAGCTGCAGAGCAGCTAAAGTACACATCATCAGATGCTGATCATCATTCTTGGTAATCCATGAAAGCTGAAGTAATACCATACCCCTCAACTGTCCCTATTTAATAGGGACATTCGGTTTTGGCACAGCCGCACTATCGCGTCATGTATGCATGTCCCAGTTCTCCTCTGGGACATGTTGCAGGGTGTGAAATACTCCAACAAAAGCTCTTAGACCGATTTGTCTGCAATCTGGAGAGGCTTTGGCGCCTGCACATTTATTCTCCTTCTACCTAAAGAGGAAAATGTTACAGCTGTTTCAATATTCTCCATAAAAGCGATTTAGGAGCCTGTTATGTACAGAGCAGCTTGGGAGCCAGACTGAAGAAGACAGAGTATGGAGTGACTCAAAGAAGATAAAAGAAGTTCTCATAAAGTCTTGAAGCAGGGCAAAGTTGGTTGGCTGTTCACACCCTACAATATGCTGTGCATCCAGCTCAATGAATATAGAGGAAGGACAAACTCAACAGCGTCCTATATTTATTATTAAAACTATTTATGTGGAGCAGCCCTGAAGATGATTTTGACAGTGTTGGGATTTAGCAAGGATTTTTGCCCCTGGCAAACTCCAGAAGACGCAGGTTAGAATTATTTCACCAACACTCCCACGCCCCACGCCCCAAAAAGAAAAAAGAAATTCAATATATTTGCTGTTATCTTCCGTAATCCTTCTGTTTTAATTGCAGGGGAGGCAAATGTCAATAAACCCTCCCCGCCACAGACCAAAAACTGTCCACACCCCCATCAAACTAGAGATGACCCAGTTCCTAGAGAGGACAGGTAAAGGCATGTGAAAAGGAGAAATCACTTTGCAGAGGGAATACTATTTTCTCTGCCACTCTTCTTGCAAAGGCCTTTCTGTGGCCTTGCACCACCATTGAACTCTGTAAGTCCTTTCCTGCCAGGCTCCTGACCAAAGTGAAGTGGCCTCTGTTACTCCTGAGCGCTGCAAGTGGTCCCTACCTGGTTCTGGTGAGTCACCACGCCCAGTCTTTGTGCGTTTGGATGAGTGAGGTAAATTAGTAGGCATTTTTTGGCTCTATCCTGGCACAAGCAGTACGGACAGCCAGGCCAGTTCCTCAGGTGCAGAGATAAAGGAAGGAGTCCCCCTTCACAATTCACCACCAGTGCTGAGTGGGGGGGGGGGGCAGGGGGCAGAGGTCCTCCCAAAATTTCAGTGAAGGGGCCACCCCTCCAAAGTTCCCCAGCAGCTGTGGCCAAACACATGCTCGTATCATGCGCACAAGCTGCAGGACGTCCGCCCGGCATGTCATCATGTCCCGCGGTATGCATGAGTTATGTTAACATGCCGTGGGGTATGTACGCATGGTGTGATGATGTTATACAGCCCCGGGCCCCCCCGGCACCCATGCACCCTGCAATTTTCAGGTTGTTGCAGCAGATCATTATGCAACAATTAAAGAAAAGGTTTGTCGTAACTTTCTGGTCCGATAGCTGTGTCTGTGTCACGGACTGGACTGAAGAGGAGGAGGAATGGTGGAGGTCTCTCTCTCTCCCCCCCCTCTCTCCCTCTCTCCCTCTCTCTCTTTCTCCTGTAGCTTCCCCAGAGGAGGAAGGCAGTCTCAATTTACAGCAGGGCTTTGAGGAAGATAACAGCTCAGAGACAGGCGAGCAGCAGAGTTATGCGGTCTTAGGAGAAGGGGAAGAGCAGGCAGAGCATGTTTCTGGATAGCATAACCAACCCCCTTCTCCCAAAATGCGGCATTCATTACGGGTGCAAGAACAAAGAGCACAGAGACAATTGTCCATGGACAGACGCCATAGAAGCAGGGGGGAAAGGGGGAGGAGCTCAGTGCGAGCAACTTCATTATGGAGGAATGACCAGAATTCTTTGTCTTTTACCGTGATGACTGAATAAATACAGTGGTACCTTGGGTTAAGAATTTAATTTGTTCTGGAGCTCCGTTCTTTCTTTTTTTAAATGTATTTTTATTAAAGATTTTCTTGGTTTACAAAAGTATGTGCAATCTCTCTCTCTCTTGTTCTTCAAGTAACCTTTTTTACAGATCAGTTTCATTTGCTGAGACATTGGGAAGAAAAGGGGGGGGAAAGAGGTGGAGGGGGGGAGTGAGTGGGGGTGGGGTCAGGTGGCAATGTTTCTATTTTCCTTAATATATGTGGGTAATATGTGTGGGGTTTTGCGTCAGCATCGCTTGTGCAGGTTCTCTGCTATTCACTTGTGTTTCTTTGTTGGTGATGGAGGCTGGGGTTGGCCTAGGGTGTGATTGCTTGTTTGTGATTGGCTGTGGTGATCTTTGTTTTCGTGTTTGAGTGAGTTGGGTGGGTGTTTTGGATCAGGTTAGCCATATTGATTTGTATGCTATTGGTGGATTTTTGTCATTGTCTTGTTGGGCTGTGTATGTGATAAAGGGGAGTCATACCGGGGTGAAGGTGTCTTCTTCTATTTGTCCCCGTGTCAGTTTCAGTTTATTGGTTAATTTTTCTAGTAAGGCTGTTTCCCATACTATTTGGTACCATTGGTCCATGCTTACTCCTGACAGGTCTCTCCAGTGTCTGGTTATGGTGTTTCTGGCTGCTGAAAGTAGGTGGGTTATGAGTTCTTTGTGGTGTAGATGGGCATTATTGTCTTGGAAGATGTTTAGTAGGGCCAATTCTGGGGTGATTTCTAATACTTGCTTAGTTATTTTACATATTTCTTGTATGGCTTTTGTCCAGAATAGTTGGATTTTGGGGCACTCCTACCACATGAGATATGTGCCTGTGGAGGTGCACCCTCTCCAGCATTTTGGTGAGGTTCCTGGTCGTCTTAGCGCTAGCTTTCTTGGTGTTGGGTACCACCTGTAGGTGAGTTTCAGAGTTAGTTCTTTTCTTTTCGTTGATATGGATTTAAAGGGGGGTTTAGACCACATTCTGGTCCATTGAGTGGAGTTAATCTCATAGCCTATGTCATCCTCCCATTGTTTTTTGATTGCGTCTAGGGGGTTTGTGGGATTTTGGAGTAGTATTTTGTATATTGCGGATACTATCCCTTTACCGTGTCCCTTTGTTGTTAGGAGAAGGTTTTCAAAGGTTGTCAGGAGCCTAGTTGCTGCTAATTTTACTGCTGAGTTGTTTAAGAGGGCACGTAATTGGTGTTGTGCTAATCAGGGCATTTGGGTTTCTTCTAGTTTGTCCTGTATTTCTTGTGTTGACAAAGATTTGTTATTTTTATAGAAGTCTATTAGGCGATATAAGCCTCTGGTTTGCCAGGTTTTTATCTGGAGGTTTTGTGCTACATGGTGGAATAATGGGTGGTACTCTAGGGGAATTAGTGGGGATGGGGTTGGGGATAGTTTGCCTATTTCTGTTTTCCATGCTTTGAGCATGGTCTGTGTGTACCTGTTAAGTGTTGTGGGAATTTTCCTTCGTTTGTTTGGGAGGAGTGGGTATGCTGTATTGTGTCCCTCTCTAGGTGTATCCATTGTTTTGTCTCATCTTTTAGTATATTTGGGATTATATGGTGTATTCGGTTGGCAATGTAATATGCTTCTATGTTGGGGATTCCCCATCTTCCTTCTGAGGTGGGGAGGTGCAGGTATTTGGGGCTTAGTCTTGGTTTTTTATGTGAGAAGATAAAAGAGTGTAGTTTTCTCTGCGATCTGCGGAGTTTGGTTAGGGGAATCCAGATTGGGAGGGTTTGGAATAGGTAGGTTAGTTTTGAGAGGGTGATCATTTTGATCATGGCTATTTTGTCTGAGAGAGTGAAATTCATGTTGTTCCAGCTCTTTAGGTCTTTGTTAATTTGTCACCACAGGGGCTTGTAGTTGTGGAGGTACAATTTATTGAGGTTTCTGGTTATTTGTACCCCTAGGTATCTGAACTTGGTGTGGTGAAGTTTTATCTTGGTGACATTAGTGAGTTCTTTTTGGGTGTGAGGAGAGTTGAAGCACATAGTAGGCCCGACACCATTGCAAATGTGTTGAGTTCTCTGATTAGGGAGGTTGCTGTGCTTATGGGGTCTGCTGTTGTGACCATTAGGTCATCTGCAAAGAGCGCTAATTTATAGGTTCTGTCTTTTATTTCCACTCCCTTGATGTCTGTGGCCGCTCAGATTCGGATTGCTAAGAATTCCAGAGCCAACTGGATGTCCGTTTGTAACCTGAAACTGTTCTTAACGTGAGGTGCCACTTTAGCTAATGGGGCCTCCCGCTGCCGCCGCCACGCTGCTGCCACACAATTTCTGTTCTCATCCTGAAGCAAAGTTCTTAACCTGAGGTACTATTTCTGGGTTTTCAGAGTCTGTAAATTGAAGCGTCTGTAACCTGAAGCGTCTGTAACCCGAGGTACCACTGTAATATGTAAGAACTTTCTGGTTTCCTTCCTGCCTCTTGGTGCCATTTAGGGGAGGGAGAGGATCCCTCAAGCCTGGCAGTCTGCCAGCTCTTCATAGCTGCCACACTGGCTGAGGAGCTGAGGGGAATTGGAGTCTAACAACATCTGGAGAGCTGTAGGTTCCCCAGCCCTGTTTCATGTGAGATGGCTGGGGGAGATCTAAAAACAGGAGCAAAGTATCATCAGTATGCAGGTGACATGTGTCTTTATCTTTCCTTTCCATGTCTCCATACTTCCTGTTGGTGACATATTCCACCAAGAAGCAATTAGACCTATTATGGGTGGAGTGGCCTAAGGTGGATCACAACAGCAGCTCCAGCGCCATCCAAATTTATGGTTAAAAAAACCTTAAGAACTGGATCTTCAAAAGATTGCAAACCACTGCCTACATAACTGTGAACCCGCAGAAAGAAATCTGTACATTTTATTTCTGCCCAGCACATAGTTTATTTTACAGAGGGGTAGCCGACAATTGCAACAAAACCAACCAGAGGTGCCAACTTGTGAGGGGGGGGGGTAACATTGTGCATGTGATGTGACACGCATGTGACATCTTGACATCCAGTGCATGACGTCTTGACATCTGGAGGAGCTAGAGGCGGAGTCAAACTCAGTGGCTGCATAGTTTCAATAGCCTGCGGCTTCTCCTATCCTGGCATTGCCACCAGTGGGAGACTGCTTGAACCCTCCTCCCCTCCATAGCAGGAGGAGTCGGAGTCGGAGTCATACCATTCTGGGCTCCACGTTTCACCTCTGTGCTTATGTGACATTGGGGGTCCTGGCCTTTACCCCCCAAATATTGAGGGGGCCGAAAAGGGCTCGGTCCCCTGGAGCTGGCGCCCTTGAAACCAGCCAAGATTCCTGTGGCGTCTTAAGGACTAACAAACTATTTATAGCATAAGTTTTTCATGTCTACTTCACCAAATAAACCCTTGTACAGATATCTGCACAGTTCAGTAAACTTTTTGTTTGTCATTGTTCTGCAGATGGAGGTGTCACCTTGCCATTTGTTGTGTGTGAAAATCATACAAATAAAAAATCTACGAAAGGCAGATTTATGTGAGTACCCCCTTGCTTCCACAAATCTGTGGTAATGTTGACTTCTAACAGGGGTTCTGTGCAGGAGAAGTGCCTTCGCGTGATAATTTTGACATGGCGGTAACATAGCAAAACTGCTGCCATTGCGCGAAAGCAGATAAGCAAGGAAAAGATGCTAAGATTATATAATTCATTTCTTTTGTTTATTTGATTAATTATTTCAAAGGATAAATTGTGTTCCTCTGTGTGCCCCAAAGTGCACAAACTTTAAATCCCAGAATGTTTTGCATTCAACATGCTGTTAAGGCTTTGAAACTCCTCCAACATCTCTCTGATGAAAATAGGGACATCCTCTTCCATTACTACTCCTACTCCTACTTCTATTACTACTACTATTGTTCTATTTATACCCCACCCATTTGATTGGGTTGCCCCAGCACCTCTGGGCAGCTTCTAACATATATAAAAACATATTAAAACATTAAACATATTAAAAAAAAAATTCCTATACAGGGCTGCCTTCAGATCAGACCCTCCAAGTCTGATGTCCCTGATTTAGAGAAGCCGTCCTGGTTTCTGATTTGATCCTGGAATGTCCCACTTTTCCTTAGGATGTCTCTATTTTCATTGGAGAAATGTTGGAGGGTATGGAGTTATTCAACTCCCAAGCTGTCTGAAGGCATTTTTTTTTACTATGTTTAATATTTTATTATGTTTTTATATATGTTGGAAGCTGAGCAGAGTGGCTGGGGCAACCCAATAAGATGTAAGGGGTGTAAATAGTATAATTATCATTATGGAATGGGACATCCTTATTTTCATCGGAGAAATGTTGGAGGGGATGTCAGATGGTTTGGCGGTTGGATAACTCGATATCCTCCAACATTTCTCAGATGAAATTGGGACGTCCTAAGGAAAAGCAGGGCATTCTGGGATCAAATCAGAAACCAGGATGGTTTCTGTAAATCTGGGACTGTCCCTGGAAAATAGGGACACTTGGAGGTCTGGTTTGAGGCCTAATGAAGGCTAGAGGAGTAATCCTTTGCTTTAACACCCCACACTCTCACTGCAGCTGAAAGGTAAGCTTTGAAAAACAGGATGGGAGTGAGGCTTACTCAGAATGGCACATGGTTAGTTGCAAACCCAGCTGAAATTCAAAGGAATTTTGTCTCACATTGTAAAAAGTTATTTGTTGCTTTATTGCTGAACTGTGTGTACTATGGTGCTTCTTTTTTCATTTACTGTAGTATGTGTTCAGTACAACATGTCAGGATTGCTATGATAACCGAGTAGGCATTTGTGCTGGGTGTGTGTCCTCTGATGTAAGTACTGTACCAAACCTGTAACATACTTTGTTGTTCTTGTTTAGTCGTTTAGTCGTGTCCGACTCTTCATGACCCCATGGACCAGAACACGCCAGGCACCTCTGTCCTCCACTACCTCCCGCAGTTTGGTCAAACTCATGCTGGTAACCTCGAAAACACTATCCAACCATCTCGTCCTCTGTCGCCCCCTTCTCCTTGTGCCCTCCATCTTTCCCAGCATCAGTGTCTTCTCCAGGGAGTCTTCTCTTCTCATGAGGTGGCCAAAGTACTGGAGCCTCAGCTTCATGATCTGTCCTTCCAGTGAGCACTCAGGGCTGATTTCCTTAAGAATGGATGCATTTGATCTTCTTGCAGTCCATGGGACTCTCAAGAGTCTCCTCCAGCACCATAATTCAAAAGAATCAATTCTTCGGCGATCAGCCTTCTTTATGGTCCAGCTCTCACTTCCATACATCACTACTGGGAAAACCATGGCTTTAACTATACGGACCTTTGTTGGCAAGGTGACGTCTCTACTTCTCAAGATGCTGTCTAGGCCTGTCATTGCCCTTCTCCCAAGAAGCAGGCGTCTTTTAATTTCGTGGCTGCTGTCACCATCTGCAGTGATTATGGAGCCCAAGAAAGTAAAATCTCTCACTGCCTCCATTTCTTCCCCTTCTATTTGCCAGGAGGTGATGGGACCAGTGGCCATGATCTTCGTTTTTTTGATGTTGAGCTTCAGACCATATTTTGCGCTCTCCTCTTTCACCCTGATTAAAAGGTTCTTTAATTCCTCCTCACTTTCTGCCATCAAGGTTGTGTCATCTGCATATCTGAGGTTGTTGATATTTCTTCCGGCAATCTTAATTCCAGCTTGGGATTCATCCAGCCCAGCCTTTCGCATGATGTATTCTGCATATAAATTAAATAAGCAGGGAGACAAAATACAACCTTGCCGTACTCCTTTCCCAATTTTGAACCAATCAGTTGTTCCATATCCAGTTCTAACTGTAGCTTCTTGTCCCACATAGAGATTTCTCAGGAGACAGATGAGGTGATCAGGCACTCCATTTCTTTAAGAACTTGCCATAGTTTGCTGTGGTCGACACAGTCAAAGGCTTTTGCATAGTCAATGAAGCAGAAGTAGATGTCTTTCTGGAACTCTCTAGCTCTCTAGTGCTTTCTAAGGCCCATTTGACTTCACTTTCCAGGATGTCTGGCTCAAGGTCAGCAACCACACTACCTGGGGTGTACGAGACATCCATATCTTTCTGGTATAATTCCTCTGTGTATTCTTGCTACCTCTTCTTGATGTCTTCTGCTTCTGTTAGGTCCTTACCACTTTTGTCCTTTATTATGGTAATCTTTGTACGAAATGTTCCTTTCATATCTCCAATTTTCTTGAACAGATCTCTGGTTCTTCCCATTCTGTTGCTTTCCTCTATTTGTTTGCATTGCTCGTTTAAGAAGGCCTTCTTGTCTCTCCTTGCTATTCTTTGGAAATCTGCATTCAATTTCCTGTATCTTTCACTATCTCCCTCGCATTTTGCTTGCCTTCTCTCCTCCGCTATTTGTAAGGCCTCGTTGGACAGCCACTTTGCTTTCTTGCATTTCCTTTTCATTGGGATGGTTTTCGTTGCTGCCTCCTGTACAATGTTACGAGCCTCCATCCATAGTACTTCAGGCACTCTGTCCACCAAATCTAAATCCTTAAACCTGTTCCTCACTTCCACTGTGTATTCATAAGGGATTTGACTTAGATTGTATCTTACCGGCCCAGTGGTTTTTCCTACTTTCTTCAGTTTAAGCTTGAATTTTGCTATAAGAAGCTGATGATCTGAGCCACAGTCAGCTCCAGGTCTTGTTTTTGCTGACTGTATAGAGCTTCTCCATTTTTGGCTGCAGAGAATATAATCAATCTGATTTCGATGCTGCCCATCTGGTGATGTCCATGTGTAGAGTCGTCTCTTGTGTTGTTGGAAAAGCGTGTTTGTGATGACCAGCTTGTTCTCTTGACAGAACTCTATTAGCCTTTGCCCTGCTTCGTTTTGATCTCCAAGGCCAAACTTGCCAGTTGTTCCTTTTATCTTTTGCCTCCCTACTTTAGCATTCCAATCCCCTATAATGAGAAGAACATCCTTCTTTGGTGTCACTTCTATAAGGTGTTGTAAGTCTTCATAGAATTGGTCAATTTCAGTTTCTTCAGCACCAGTAGTTGGTGCATAAACTTGGATTACTGTGATGTTAAAAGGTCTGCCTTGGATTCGTATCGAGATCATTCTATCATTTTTGAGATTGCATCCCAGTACAGCTTTCGCCACTCTTTTGTTGACTATGAGGGCCACTCCATTTCTTTTACGGGTTTCTTGCCCACAGTAGTAAATGTGATGGTCATCCGAACTGAATTCGCCCATTCCCGTCCATTTTAGTTCACTGATGCCCAGGATGTCAATATTTATTCTTGCCATCTCATTTTTGACCACCTCCAACTTACCCAGGTTCATGGTTCTTACATTCCAGGTTCCTATGCAATATTTTTCTTTACAGCATTGGACTTTCCTTTCGCTTCCAGGCATATCTGCAACTGAGCGTCCTTTCGGCTTTGGCCCAGCCGCTTCATCAGCTCTGGATCTACTTGTACTTGCCCTCCGCTCTTCCCCAGTAGCATGTTGGACGCCTTCCAACCTGAGGGGCTCATCTTCCAGCGTCATAACTTTTATATGCCTGTTGTCTTTGTCCATGGAGTTTTCTTGGCAAGGATACTGGAGTGGCTTGCCTGTTCCTCCTCCAGGTGGATCACGTTTGGTCAAAACTCTCCACTATGACCCGTTCATCTTGTGTGCCCTGCTCGGCGTAGTTCATAGCTTCTCTGAGTTCTTCAAGCCCCTTCGCCACGGCAAGGCAGTGATCCATGAAGGGGGTAACATACTTAGGCAGTTTCTATTAATTTGAGTTGTATAATTTTGAATTTAAAAGAGCAGTAGCTTACAGAGGCAGAAAACTTGATTACATCTTGCATGAGCTATGATAGCTATGCTGTAATTTGAATATGAAGGCTGTCAGGAGGACAATGATTTGAGGAGCATCTCAGTTACATATCAGATATAAAGAAGGCACCACACAGATTGCGATAAAGGTTACGTGAATTATGGAAGTTGGGAAAGGGCGTGGGAGGAGTTTATAGCAAAACTGTAGATCAGATTGAACTTCTGCCAATTGTGCTCATTCATGGGGAGTGCTGGGACATCATTCGCCCAATAAAGGAGGAGAGCCAGAAACAACAATATATACTGTACATGACTCTGGCACAGGAGCAATAGTTACCATGAATAAGTTCAGACACGAACATGATTCCATCTCCCATCATTCCTGAACATTGGCCAAACTAGTTTCAGCTGACAGGAGTTGAAGACCAGTGCTATTGTGGCCACAGCACCACCTGCATCCTTTATCTCTCTGAATTATTTATCCTGCATTTTATACTGTGAACCACCCTGAGATCATATGATTAAGGGTGGTATATATAAATCTAATAAATAATAGCAGTTATGTCCAGCTCGCAGATAGTCATAGATGTAACAGTCTGTTCATCCTTCTAGATAACTCCACATCCCTGCTGGCTTTCTACCTGCATAAGTGCCCTTGGGGGTTTCTGAGTTATTTTGGGAAATTGAGGTTCGTTAGGTCACAAAATGGGAGGCCTCTGGCCTCCTAGCC